ATACAAAAACAACAATTAGAAATCCAAAAGATAAACAACAAGATTTCAGAAATGGACAGTGTCATAGAAGGGGTGAGGAGCAGACTTGAAATGGTGGAAGATAGGATCAGCGGAATTGAAGACAAGCACTTGGATACAACTCTGTTTGAGGAAAAATCAGAAAAAAGAACAAAGAAAAATTAAGAGACCCTGAGAATTACGTGGGATACAATCAAAAGCAAAATTTTTCGAGTGATTGGAGTTCCAGAACAGGGGAAGAAAACAGAAAACACAGAGAGGATTATTGAATAACTGCTGAGAGAAAACTTCCCCAATATCATGAAAGATGAAAAGCCAACCGTCCAAGAAGCTCGACGAACCCCATATAGGATAGACCCCAAAAGAAAATCACCAAGGCATATCATAATCACACTCACTAAAACCAAAGACAAACAAAGAATCCTGAGAGCAGTTTGAGAAAAACAAAAAGTCATATACAGAGGAGAAACAGTAAGACTAAGCTCAGATTATTCGGCAGAAACCGTGCAGGCAAGAAGGCAATGGGATGACATATATAAAACCTTGAAAGAAAAAAATTTGCAGCCAAGAATAATATATCCTGCAAAACCCTTGTTCAAATATGATGGTGAAATTAGGTCATTTCCACATTAACAGAAATTAATGGACTATGTAAAAACCAAACCAAACTTACAAGACATATTAAAAAGAGTCCTTTGATCTGAGAACAAACAATACCAGACCACAGGCTGAATCTAGGACACAGGATTGTACTAGCCAGATACCAACCTAGGAAATGAACTCTTAAGGACTATGCAAAACCAAAAGAATTATAACAGGGAACCAGAGAGGTTAATCTGTAAATGACAACACATCAGAACAATAAAAGAGGGAATAAACGGTGTAGGTATAGAACCTTCCAATGGAGAGGAAGTCAAGGCAATACCAAGAAATAATAGACTGGTTCAAATCTAGGAAGATAAGGGTAAATTTCAAGGTAACCATAAAGAAAGTTAACAAACCTATTCATCAAAATAAAGAAGAAAAACATAAAGTCTCAGTAAAAACAAAAGAAATGAAAAAAATCCACAAACAAAAGAAACTCAGCACAGGAGAGTAAGAGAACAAAGAAAATGTCAGCACCACAAAAAAAAAACAAAACAAAAAAAAACACTACAAAATGCAATCCCAGTCCTAGGAATATATCCTAGAGAAATAAGAGCCATCACACGAATAGACATATGCACACCCATATTCATTGCAGCACTGTTCACAATAGTCAAAAGAAGGAAACAACCTAGATGCCCATCAACAGATGAATGGATAAACAAACTATGGTACATACACACAATGGAGTACTTTGCAATGATAAAGAACAACGATGAATCTGTGAAGCATCTCATAACATGGATGAAACTGGAGGACACTACGCTGAGTGAAATAAGTCAATCACAAAATGACAAATATTGTATGAGACCTCTATTGTAAACATCCATGAAAAAGTTTACATACGAAAAGTAACAATCTTTGTTGGTTACCAGGGATGGGAGGGGTGGGGGGGGGAGATACTAAATAGACAATAGATAAGTGGTATCTTTGGTGAAGGGTGAGACCGTACACAATACTGGGGAAACCAGCTCCACTTGTACAAGGAAAGGTCATGGAAACTCCATAGACACATCCAAACTCCCTGAGGGACTGAATTGCTGGGCGGAGGGTTGTGGGGACTGTGGTCTCGGGGAACATCTAGCTCAATTGGCAT